GTAATTGTTTCAAGAGTGAAGTCGAGCACAACGACTGGTCTAACAGTACCGCACCGGTAGCTCAACAACAGGTCCATCACCACCAACACCATCAACAGAATAATTTCAATATTAATGAAGGTTTGCTTTAATTATTATATTTTTTGTTTTCATTATTGAGTAGACAGACATTTTCTATGCTTTAGTGAAACAAAAAGTTTTGCAAAACCTTTTTTTGAATACTCTTTTCAATGTTAGCCAATATTTTAAGATTCACTCGACGTTTAACTTTTTTAAATAATTATACTTTTTATAAAATAATTTTTGTTATAAAAAGTGAATATGGAAATCATTACAATAGGATAGTCTGAAGGACAGGTAGCATGAAAACTATTCAAATGAATTGAATTCATTAAATATGAAATTTTTGTTTGTGTTTTCTCTCTAAATGATATGTGATTTTAGTTTTCATTTTATTTTTATATCCTTTTAATTGAACCAAAAATAATTTCCAAACATAGTTTTGGGCAAAAGTTGTCTATTGACTAATAAATTGAAAAATATATTTACGATCTGTTTATTGGTTATTAGTTTAATGGGATATGAACTGAAAATCTAAATTCTGGGCAGATTTTGGTTTGTTGTTTACTTACGAAATAAATTATTTAATAGTATTAAATAACATTTGTGTTAAGCATAGCAATTGACTCTATGGTCTCTATAGTGAACTTCCTATTAGTGTTAAAAAATTTTGTTGACTTTATATTTATTTAATCGATTAGTTTGTTAATACTTGTATATTGTTTGTGAAATTTTTTGTAATAGTGTAATGCAATTTTAATTAATTCAAAATATTCCCATATTTTATAATTGTATTATTATTATTCCGTTTACTATTATTTAATAATTTGTATTTTATGTCGAAAATACAGAAACAAATGTAAAAACTCCGCAAAACGTGTTAACAAATCAATCATCAATTAAGCCGTTAAACAAGAATCAGAATTTTACTCAAATATCAAATCCGAGTCAAAACAATCAAAAATTGACAAATGATTGCCTGAAAACGGCTAACTCTATACTTACAGCGAATAACAAAAAGTTTTCAAACGGCACCTCTAATGCCAATCCCATAAATAATTGTCATAACAATCCTTCAAATACACAAATAGTGATGAATAATACGAAAATTAAATTAAATTCAACTCATGTTTCGTCACATAACTCACAAATAATTAATGGCATTCATAATCATCATAATAATCATAAATCTAAAGACAATATCAAACAGTATAGCAGTAGTGGTGGCACTCATACAGCAAATAATAATTGCCTGGATTTCAAGAAAGTCATTATCCATACAAACAGTGGTGTAGTAGTGGAGGACAAGAAGGAAAGTAACGCTAATAATAACACGACTACCAGTCCTACCAGTGCTGCTGACAGTAAGACTAAAACCCAGGCATTGACTAGAGATACGAAACCACAAGTGTTTCCTCAACTCTCAGCGAAAGACAAACACATCTTAAATGAAAATAATCTGAAAAACAATACAAATATCAATAATTCTTGTAATCATAATATTCAAGTGCTTAACGACAACGGCTCCAGTAGTGCTACCAGTGTTCCACCAATTAAGAGCTCCAGTATGCCATTGACTGGTATCTTGAAGTCTACTACCGGCGCCGATGTGATTAAGTTTCGACCGAAAAATAAGTGTTTGGTTTTCAAAGAGGGAGATCCACTGGTGATCGGCTATGGTTTGGACAGTCCTGTCGATGACTACAGCAGTGATGAAGAGGCAGATGAGGAGTCATCGGATGATGACTACGAAGACGAGACCATTTACACGAGTGATGACAAAGAGTTACGAGATTTGACTCATAAGAATACACTGTTTAATGCTAATTATAACAACTTTTCCCATATTAACGACAATTCTGTTAAACAAAGTGTTAGTCAGACGACGAAACCAGTTATCGAAATCAGAGAGTATTCTTCGGGAACCACTGTTCCTAATGGTGTAAAAACTATCACTACATCCACAGCTAATCCCATGATAATCAATGGTATTGATTGTCAGCAAAAGTCAATAGTGATCGCCAACAGCGAAGAGCAAACAATACCCAAAGTTTGTGAAAAGTTAGTGGAAATTGGTTTTAATGAAGCGATTGACGACTGTTTGAACAGTAATATTAGTGCCGATAGTAATGATAACCACGATATCTGCTCGAATCAAACACATTCTCCCGATTCAGGCAACTGTGATATCACTCCTATGTCCACATCCAGTGATAGCTACTCATCCGGCGATGAAAAGGATGACTCACAGAGGAATGGTATGAATTGGCGTTATATTAATATATTATTAATATATTATTTAATATATTATAATATATTATATTAGTAACACTTATATAAAGGGAAAACAAGTTTTTATTTTAAGTCTAATTAATTGTTTTGACTTTTTGTGCTTAGATTTCACACAACACTTGATGACAACACAAGTCATACAACACTTGCGAACGGATTCAGAGTCCGACACTTTGAGCACTAATTCAGATTCAAGTCTCGAAATGAAATCCACTTATAGACCAGAATTCAAATGCAAACCTCAACTCCCGGTAAAGCCTAATATGAGCGCAACCATCACTACGACTACAGCCGCCAAACCTGTACTTCCGATGACTATAACTGTGAAAACTGCGGCAATGGATGAACAAAAGCAACAGAATTTGAATTTGCATTTAATTCACGACAATAAAGACTCGTCTGATGAGGAAGTGGTGTCTGAAGAGTGTTCACCGAAATCATTGGTCGAACATATCTATCAAGAGATCAGTGATTCAAATGAGGAGATGTCCGGAATTAGCGGCAAATTCTCCAACACTTCTGAGGATAATAACAATTATAGTGATAATAACGGCAAAGAGTCACCCGTAGAGAGTAAGTCACAGGAGCACCGGGACCTGAAGTTAGCCGAATTGGCACAAGAGTTGGAACAGTGCCGGTATATGAAACGCCCGGCCCCTCAACCACCGACCACTACTAGACATAAGTCGTCGGATACTGACATTGAAACTGATACCAAGAAATTAGTTCTCAAGACCTCGTTATCTATTAATACATCTGAAAAGGAGTCAAAACAAACGCATGTCTCTGTGGCAGCACCGGTAGCACCGACTAAACACCGGTTCTCATCGATTAGAAAACTGTTGCATAAGAAAAGCTCATCAGAAAAGTCTGATAAGAGTAAAGACCATTCACACCATTCGCACGATTTAGTTCACAGTGGGGTTACTGTGACCGACTCGACTACCGGTGCTGATAGGAAAGCCTGGAAACAGTCAGAGTTTGATCGGACGACCCTTAAGATTGTTCATCCGATTGATATGACATCGATTGTCAGCTCAAAACCTGATGTTAGGGAACAAATGGCGGCTGAAGTACCGGAACAGAGACCGGAAGCCCCTCCAAGGACTCCCAAAGCTAACCGGCCATCAGTACCGGCCCGCAAACGAAACAAGTCGTCGCCTAATATACACCAATCGCCGCACAGAGACCCTCCGCCTCCTGTGCCCACTACTACTACACCGGCGCCGCAAAAGCCGCTACAGAAAAGTGTTTCGCTGCCCATCCCGACCACGGAGGCGCCAAAAGCACCGGTAGTCGACACGACTGTCCAAAACAGTTTGAACGAGGCGTACAACCAATTGGCCAAATCTAATCACTCAAATCTGGTGGCAATTAAGTCAAAGATTGAGTCCAAATGTACGGACGAGACCTACAAATGGACTGATTTTGAAGTGACAAACGCCGAGAGAATGGGTTCAGTACTGGTCTATAAGGACTCCATTGTGTCCAACACTAGAAAGTCAGTCAATCTAATGGTTAGTC